GGACCAGATGTCATGCTCTCAGTCGAACCACACTGGGCCGAACTCGCGCCGACACACACGGATAGGGAAAGACCGGAAAATTGAAAGGGCTAACAGAATGAGGTACAGGAAAGCAGCTTCAGTCACATTCATAGTGTTAGCTTCATTAATTAATCCGCGCTGGGGGAAATTGGGCGTTTTTTGGTCAAACTTGCAAGTTTTTTTTGCCCGTATAAGCGCCGCGAAACTTGGCATAGCTTATCATACATCAATTTCTCGTCGAGTGTGAAATTGTGGAACCCCGGTCTCGAAACTCGGGTTATTGCATGAGCTATCAGCATGAGCTACATTGCATAGTACCGGACTATCGCATCAGAAGGCACAGAAGAATATGCTTTATTTAACACTTCTTTGCAATTATGTCGCCGCTTCAGAGCTACAGTAGGCGCCCGAGTCCTTTGAAAGTTGCAGTGCACGATGTAATAAGGCCATTGGTAGCTACAACTTGTATGCCTCGGAATCTTATCAGTTCATCCGGACTTATGTCCCCCAAGAAATCGTTCGGGTCGGAGCTTTCGAATTGTATCACAAAACGTCAGCGTGTCGTAATCGAGTTCGTGTGTATCGGTCGCAAAATTGAGGACGTTTTGCGACCGATTGGATTCCCCGTGATGAGGTGCATCGAATTAGGTAACCTTCTTATGCAAAAGTATCAGCTTCGAAATTTGACCTTTTTTACCAGACCTTGACCTAACCTCCACCAGAAAGTAACCTAAACCGTCCCTCATGGTCGTCTAACCAAAACCACTGAGTTGGAAATGAAAAATTGGTCACAAAACATGCATCACACGGCCCTAGTTAAGTTTGGTTCATGTGTTGGCCCTTGGTGACCTGACCTCTGTGACCTGACCTGGTATCAGTGACGTCTTTTAGCAACATCTGTACTAGACAACCGACGCTTTGTCGATGATTTTCGATAAAATGCTTTTTAATCAATGTTATAACGCATTTTCTAGAAGGCCCGTGAACGGTCAAACATTTTAACTTTGAACTGACCTGTGACGTCATCAGTGACCCTGTGGTCAATGAAATTAGATTTCTCTAGGCAACAAGGCTATCGAACGCCGTTTGAGTTTTGCGAATCCGTCCAATAGTTTCGGAGATACGGGGGGGGGCAAAAAATAGCCCCCCACCAGTGGGAGGCTTAAGGTTATGTGATCCGAGGTCAACCTTTGACCTTGACCGTTCGACTGGACTTGACTTGACTTTAGTCAACACATATGTAAATGCTACGAGGCGAAATTACGAGAGGACTACGATGCTGCTAATTGCTGTCATGCAGTTTTCGCCGAGCTTTTGGTATTACTTCAAAGGTGATACATCTGTACTAGACAACCGACGCTTTGTCGATGATTTTCGATAAAATGCTTTTTAATCAATGTTATAACGCATTTTCTAGAAGGCCCGTGAACGGTCAAACATTTTAACTTTGAACTGACCTGTGACGTCATCAGTGACCCTGTGGTCAATGAAATTAGATTTCTCTAGGCAACAAGGCTATCGAACGCCGTTTGAGTTTTGCGAATCCGTCCAATAGTTTCGGAGATACGGGGGGGGGCAAAAAATAGCCCCCCACCAGTGGGAGGCTTAAGGTTATGTGATCCGAGGTCAACCTTTGACCTTGACCGTTCGACTGGACTTGACTTGACTTTAGTCAACACATATGTAAATGCTACGAGGCGAAATTACGAGAGGACTACGATGCTGCTAATTGCTGTCATGCAGTTTTCGCCGAGCTTTTGGTATTACTTCAAAGGTGATACGTGAAGAACTATCTCTAGAGACGCTATGTTGACTGAAATGCAATAAATTTTACCTCATTTTGTTGCTAATTTGTTGAGAAACGCGGTCATGAAGGTTTCATGTCGCTATCTTTCATAGATTCGCCAATATTGGCTGAGTAATTTGGATAATTGCAGCTTTCCCCGAAATTTGACCTTTGACCTGCCATAGCTGGGTCAAATATTGAATTAGGGTAAAAAATATAGGTACCACCAATCGCGAGTAGGTACTCGTTGAGAGCAATCGACTGCTCTTTGTTGCGAAGCGAGCTACGACGCTTAGTTTCGAAACGCCGGGGGAGTGGTATGAAAAATACCCTGGACGAGGGTTTTGACATAACAGTCGAACTGATATTTGGTCTCACGTCACTTAGGGTCTATGTCTCCATGGAATTTGTTGGTATTGCTGGTTATTTTCGTTATTTATGTTCAGTACCGACTGCCCAGGTCACGTCAAATACCTATTGTCAAAATCTACCTGTTCGCTGTTCGTAATACCACTCACACAAACTGACTTCTTTCAAAGTTGTCAGTTTCTCACAAGCTCTTCCCGGCGTACTCCCGATCAAGAGTGAGAGGCGCGCGATAGGAGACGCCTGGCTGGGCGCTGCTCATGGATAGATCGTGGGATGAGTCTCCGACCCGTCTGGTCACGGCGAAACTTAGCAGGGAGGGTTCAGAGCACCTCGACGGCGGCCGCACGCCAGCGGAGCGCCGTAACTAATGGGTGTGACACTGTGTCAACAAACGCCGCTGAGTGACGAGCCGAGGGGACCGTCGAAACGCGCGGGCCATACAGCCAGAGACATCTCTCGGCGATTTTATGAACTAGCTGTGCAATGACTTTCAAATGAATAGAACTGCATAGTGATGCATGCAATGATGAATCACTCTACAGGATTGCGTAGAGAATCGATGTATTTATGATTCCTAGCAGCCACATTTTAGAAATTGTTGTCATGGCTTTCATGCAATGCACTGCAAGATGAAAATTGTATCATGCAAAACATAGTACAAAATTTGAAAAAAAGGCTTGCTAGGAAATGTTTTCCTTGACTTCTTCAGTCCAAAACTGCAAACATCACAGTCGTACGACAATCCGTTATTGAGTTCTATTCGTTTGAAATTTTGATTTTGCAATATGTTTGTCTCAATTGCTCAGTAAATGTGGATTGCAGAACAACGGTAACCACTCTGTGATGACGAGGTTAACGTCCTTCATAACATATCCAAAAACGAAGGCAATCGAAGCAACGATGCTCTAGATATTTACGAAAAACGTTCCTCATAGCGTTACGCGTGAAACGCACCCTTAATGCACTTTCCACTCGTCCGCTCCATCATTGCGTACGAACCTCACCACAGTAGGTATGTATGTATTACCATTAGGGACAAGCCACGCGTGGCGTGGCGATTACAGTCCAGAGTCTGGGTCGGGTTCAACAAAACATGCAGTGACAAGAAGCTCTGCGAGTGGACCTCCCTCGCGCGTCACTGTTATTCGTGAACATATCAGCTAGTGCTTCGGGCTCGCCGTTGCTTTTTTCGCAGCTACCATGGTTTGAATATCGGCCATAGCTTCCGGAGTCATCCATCCGAGTGAATCGCGGAGGCCAGACACGTGGCTCGGCTGAACGCCTTCGCACACATGGCATCATGCCGTTTACCAACATGTCGCCCACATCGGCAACAACCTACTCTCCTCCGCTCTCTCGCTTTTTTTCTCTCTCTCCCTCTATTTCTCTCTCTCTCTCTCTCTCTCTCTCTCTCTCTCTCTCTCTCTCTCTCTCTCTCTCTCTCTCTCTCTCTCTCTCTCTCTCTCTCTCTCTCTCTCTCTCTCTCTCTCTCTCTTTATCTCTCTCTCTCTCCCCCTCCCTCTCTCTCTCTCTTTCTCTCTTTCTTTCTTTCTCTTTCTCCTTCTCCGCACTAATTCTAACTCGGCGTCCACGTGTCGACAGCAGCCCGACAATACACGTACATAATACATAAGGAAAACCACAGTCGACCTCAGTCGCACTCACCTGACGTGTCGCTGCAATCGGTGGTGCGGCAAACTCCAGCGTGCACACTGCACAGGTACTTACACGCTTGTAGTAAGGCACCCTCTCATGCTTAGGTCACGGCCACACCTCAAGATATCGGCGCTTTTACCAACCATCACTGTCACAAGAAAAAGTTCCGTCACAAAACCGAAATTATGACCTTCCCACCTCACGTCCGTCACCATTGCCGTCACTCTTCGCACTGGTCCACTGCTCCCGCCAACGTCTCCCGCGCCCGTCCCTCGTAAACCGACCTCCCCTCTCCCCGCCCCTCCCATCTCCACTGCGCCCCGCCCGACCACGTCTGTCCCTCGCTCCCAGACAGCTCCCCTTAGCTGCGTCTCACGTGTCGCCGTCGCTACCTCGCGTCGTACCACCAATTTCCCATTATAGGGGTACGACTGCTCTAGGTGGTGTAAGGTTACCATGAGGTACGCGCTCAGTTACTCTTTTTCAAGTGGTGGTTTACTCTATGTAATGGTGGCATGCTTTCACTTTTCATTATAAAAGAAGTCATGCTACACCTTTAGCGGAGTAAGTGGAGTACTTGTACTCTAAACTCAGAGCTAAATTTGGAACCACTTTACTCTTTTATTTGAAATAAGCATTTTTTCTCAGTGCGGGGGTTCTGGCGGGGGCGGGCTGGAGCGCCTGCGACTGGTATCCACTGGAATCTGGATCTCCACGGCCCAGGGAGGTATCCGACAGCTCTCCCCCGGGCCGAGATGGCATTTGCCATGGAACAGCACCGTCCAGGTCTGGCCAGACGGGTCGCCGATAAAACGCACAAATGTAGGTTTATGTCCTTGTATGATGTGCTAAAAAAATGTTGAAAATATATTAAAAGAACCAAGGTCTGCAAGAGGCATCCTAGGAAATTTTGCAATTAAATGTTCATGATAGATTGGCTTGTAGATACCATGATGTGTAGGAATTCGACAATATTGAATTTTGAAATTTAACAGAGAGAATCTCGTTCGCAGCTCACTGAATTTCGGAGATAAGTCAAGTAGACTACTGAGTCACTACAGACCAGCCCTTGAGTTTGTCCGGGACCAGATAGATGATGATGATGATGATGTGTTTTGATGTGCTTCAAATATAATCTGATCGCTTACAAATTCCACAATGCAACGCATTCGGCTAGTTTGTGTATTCTTTGAAACTGAATGCCAATATTGCACCACATGAGCATGAAACAATCAGACATTTAAAGGTACTCAAAAACTTTTTCAAGGTAATCCTTTCCTAGCCAAAATCACGTCTATTGGTCAAGACTGGTCAACCAATGCACCACAATTCGGCAGATGTTGGCTTGTAGCTGCCTCGATTATTATTTTTATGCAATTGGTTTCAGCGTGACCTGCTTTCCAGTAAGCATGACTTTAACCGAATCACTGAAAAGGTTTTCGTGTCATTCCGGCTAGGACCCGTACAGTGGTATACTATATAGTAACATGCTATTTCTGTATAAATAAACACTAACATATAATTATCTCAATGGCCATAACTTCAACCTCGCAAATAAAACATAATATAATTACGAAAACCACATAGCGTAGCATATCAGAAAAACATCCCATCCATTTGTGCTGAAACATGTTGTGCAATTAACTTCAATCATTGCACTGGAGAATATCACAGACATCTGTGCCGCAAACATCAACTGCCTGGTCGGAGCCGTCAGCGAAAGATCGCAAAACAAGAGCATACACACATTTTTTGCTGCTCATGGTCTAAAGCCGACCAGGTTTCCCAATACGGCATCGGATGTGGGCGCAAAGTTTTCAAGGCATTCGCGAATTCTACACCATGGCGTAGCTATCGACGCGACGTTGGGTGGAAACACGGAGCTGTTGTCAGGGGGAGAGCCCAAACGATACTAGAAAATGCGCCGACGGAACGAACAGTCTCGTGAGTTGAACTCCACAGCTCCATCGACAAAATGAGCTGTCAACGGCGGGGGCTGAACACAACCCATCGTCCGCAACAACGAATTCGAACACCCAACGGCAGCCGAACACTCCGCCACGACTCTCGGGGACGCAATGCGCACAATGGCAACATCTAACGGCTCCGCCAACGACAACACCGCCACCTGCAGGGGGCGCGCCGAACCAACAGCGCCGCAGGCGAGCCGCGACCGGGCAGGGGTCGCCGCGGCGTCCGCCTGAGTCGGTAGACTGTACCGCTCAGCACTCGCAGGCAGAGCAGCGCACTTTGAACACCACGCAGTGAAAAACTGCCAAATACTATATAAAGTCCATGGTGTTCTTCTTTTTGTCGTTGACTGGTGCTAACCGTTTGGGTTTCCTCGACCTTTCCGGTGAGAAAGATGATAGGCCTGTGAACAGAGTTCAGACTGATTAATAAGACGTAGGTTCAGAATGCCTATGTATTCACTTACTTTCAATATTTGAACGGCCTAAATGTATCCTTTATTTTTAAGCTTTATTTTAAAGAAAACGCGATTCCTATAAAACAATATTTGATTTCTTAAAACAGTGGAGTTTAACCTACTAACAAGTAACATCAATAAAGACAATAATCAGAATTGATGTAAGCGATCGAAAGGGTTTTATCACTCTCTTCACAATATATTATATAAAAAAAAAATACATTGTAAACGCCACGGACAAACAAATGAAAATGGTAGCATCTAGGCCTCATTATATTTGTAAATGCATGCAACAAAGAATATCATGGTGCTGCATGTAAGTACGCTATGCTATAGTACAATACGTGCTACGAACTCATGCAGTGTTAATACCCATGATCATAATTTCATGCGTTACCATTGGCACACTTTAATGCAAACTGCATAACAAACTAAAACACGAAGAACTACCATTGCAACTCAATTAGAGAAACGTTCAACTTGGACTTAAGATTACAAGGTAATCAAATACGAAGCAATAGCGATGGAGCTGTGAATTCCGTGGCAACATCATTGCAATGGATGGTGAATACGTTGCTGTGGAGGTAGGCTGTATGCCAAATCGCTAATACACATCATATGTTTTTTTTTGTATAGCAACGAACCGCCTGGAAATGAAATGGCATCACGATAAAGGTTTAAATCATAAGAAAAAACTGCTCTTAGAGCTTTTGATAAAAGACAGTTACGAGCTGTCAGTGAGGTGACATAAGAATTGAAGGAAAAAGTTAATGACCATTACAAATGCATTTTTTTGCGGACAACGTTTGAAGGACAAGGTATAAGCTCAGATAGAAAATTAAAATGTAGCTAAGCTAATTGAAAGAAGGTAGTTGCAGTTTAACTGGGTACATACACAAATTTAAGTGTCAATGCACACAACAAACTGAAATAATGTGCTTAGTGCCGCAGGAAAGCCGGTATGTGAGACATATTCAAGCAAACATCCATTCAAACATGCAGGGCAGTTTGTATCTTGTCGTTGGAATGACCCCGCATTGTTTCAAAGTAACCCAACGGCCTAACCTAACCAAATGGCCGTGCTTAATTTCTTTTTCAGCATAATCAGCTTACGCAAAACGATCCGAGAATGCAAAAGTATCAGTGCAGATTATGAAAATATTTGTATTGCTGGAGTTTGAACTTTGGAAGACCACTGGACATTCGCCTGCTTTGCATAATTCCTTACATTGAGCTGCGCTGATGTGAGTGAGATATTCTTTTATTTATGAATATACACAAAGTTCATTATTTACCAGCCTGTCCAGTGAAACAGCCATACGTTTGCATGCAGACACAAATAGATGGACCACCAGAATCGGATAGGGCAGAATGACACCACATCAATACATTTAATATCGCCAGGCTCAGCCCAGTGAATGCGCGTGGCGGTTTCGGCCGTTATGCTTGCAGACAAGCCTGGCAGGCGTTCAGTAAGCGTGCTGCCGGCCGGTGTGACTGGGTGCGGCGGCCGCACGGGCTCCCGGCACGGCGCGGGACCGGTACCTAGCCAGTTTTTGGACGCCATCCAGTACCCCAGCGAGGTGTTCAGCAAGCCCTGTGAGCCGGAAGGGCTCACGCTGCCTAAGCTCTCATTGCTCTCAGTGAGGGAGATCTCCTCTGAAACGCAGCGGACACGGCGCGTTAGTAGCCGAGCTCCGGTCGGCCCTGGGCCCTCTGTCCGGGGCCCCACGCCACGATACAAACTGCCCTCCGACGGAGCATCAAAAGCAAAAGCGGGACGGCCTCACAGCACACACCCATTCGCACACACACGCGCACACACAAAGGCAAGGAAGAATGACAAAAAGATGGCCAAAAGTGCGCCGTCTGCCGGCTGCCGGGCGGGCGGTACCGAAGGTGGGAGGGAGGCGCGGCGGCTCCGTCGGCGAGTTGCCCCACGAACTGCTCATCGAGCTGTTGCTGTTCAACGAACCGTTCAGCGACCCGTTGAAGCCACCCAGCGTATTCAGCGCGTTGTGGCTAAAGCTCATACCGAACAGGTTGCCGCCACTGGGCCGCATGCGATCTGTAACTGATGTCGGCGGCGGATCGTCAACCTGTGGCTGGCGCGGCTGCAGGGCTGGGCGCCCGTCAGTACGCGACGAAAGGGTCATCTTGTAACAGCCACTTCGTAGAAAGGGTAACAAGTTTTTTTAACAAGCGAGCACCTGTTTGCACCTGATGGCAACAACAATAAAGAGCTGATATAAAGAAGGTCGCCATTAAAAAGTAACTAGCTGACGAACAATAACACTGCTAGAGCATTAGAGAGTTTCGTCAACACTGACCTTGGCTAAGTTTGGCTGCTTTTTCTGCTGTTTGCTGAGTTTTCAACAAAATTTCTGCCTGCCGGTTACCGGTTGGCTTGAAATACTGGCCAGCTATGTCTTCTTCAGCACCCTTTTCTAACCTCTGAAACACGAATGAGGTGATGAGTAAAAATCATACGAAAACGGGTAAGAATATGTATGAAAGCAAACATCTTGCGAGATTGGTTTTTATCAAAACATTATAGGAATGTCCCTAAATTGACAACTTTTTCATGACGTTTTAAGCATGTACTGCTTTCCACGAATCGTGTAGTATTGCCTATGGACCATGTATCTACCATATACCATGACCCGTGTACCGTGAGCGATGGACCGACCTTGAGGAACTTGTCCTCCTCGTCGCTGTCCCAGGCGATGCCGAGTCGCGCCGGCGCCGTCTGGGCCGGCACCCTGCCGCTCGTGCTGCCCTTGGAGCCGTTCAGGCTACCCCCGCCAGCCGCCAGGAAGTTTGAGGGGCCTGAGGAGGTACATACAGGCACAGCGTGGTAGGGTAGGCGGGTTGGTGCATTTCTGGTAGTCATTATGCAATTGAAAATTTTGAAGTAGTTTGCTTACAATTTTGAACACTCAGTTTACAACACGTCAAGCTGTTGACATAATTGATTGCTTTAATGGATAAGATTCAAAGTTACGCAGCATTTCATTTCAAAATGCCTTTATTTTACTAAAATTGTAATCACTAAATCGAAAATAAGCCTGTCATCAGGTCTGTCTGATAATCTGATGGCTCAGGCAGCACCAGGCGTCCTCACCTGCTGGGGGCAGCTTCGTCTTCACCATCTGCACATCGGGCAGCCGCCAGCGCTGGTCGATCTCGTCCCAGACGGCCTGCTTCTTGATGGCCTCGACGTCGGCGTAGTTGCAGTCCTTCCTGATGGTGGGCTGGACGCGTTCCATCAGCTGCTGCATCAGCTTCAGTTGCTGGTCCTGGCGACGGATCGTCTCCAGGTAGTCGTCCCGCTCAGTGGCGAACTCGCGCTGGATGTCGCGGATCTCCTGCTCCTGGGCTCGCAACTGGGGACAGTGGGCGGGGTTAAGAGCCGTCAGTCGGCACCGATGGATCCTTGTCAGAGAATATTTTTCAGGCATCGGGACCAAGAGGTAGAATACACTACACGATGAGATAGCGAGGGCAAATCTTCGTGTGGGTGAAAATTGTCCTCGTATATATTCATAACAACAAAAAACTGCTGATCTGTACTGATCTTTAACAATGATTCATAATCAGAGAGCATTGGTCGCTATCGGGGGTACATAACATTTCATTATCAAAACCGATCCATGGCAGCCAATATTCTAATTTCTATGGTAAACAAAGCGACACCTAATCCTCCACCTACCCGGACTTTCATCTTCTTGGCGAGCTCTGTCCGCGCCTTGAGCGTGGCCTGCACGTCATCGTAGGCCTTGACCAGGATTTCGTCATCGTCTTCGTCCTCGGCTGCGCCCCGTCCCAGCGCGGCGGCGATCTCCTTACGGCGCCGCTGCACCTCTTCCGTCACCTTCTTCCGCTTCATCAGAGCCTGCTTGTTGTTGGCCTGCTCGCCTCCCACCATCTGACTCTGGAGCTCTTTTAGCCTGAGGAGTGTCGGTGGAAAGTTAAGCAGAATGGATTTATGTGACGAGAAGTTCCGGATGTCAGTACAAATATTTGGGAGAAATAAGAATTGATGCTGAATTTAGCTGACGCTTTTCAATATCAAATTTGAAGAGCCTATAGTAAATGCTGATGGGCCCCGACATTCGTCTTCTAGTAAGTAGTGAGTGAATCCCACATGCATTTGAAAGCGATATGCGGTGAAACCACCATCGCTGCTGCTGTCATCATATACTTCAATACCTAACTGGTATTGCGTCCGACACTTGCAAGTTGCATTGGTTACAAATTCACTTATTATTCATTCAAGCGTTAATTCCGAGTCATTTACATTGAAGGGTAACAAACCGAATATTCATTTGCACTACGATATTACTTACAAAGATAAGTCACTCAGACAAAAAAAGGCATTATATTCACCTTTCTACGACCTCAGGGTCGGCGTTGTCGGGAATGGAGCCACCAGTGAGGAGTGACTTCTGATGCTCCAGCTCTTCCTACAAAAACGAGATCGTGGTCAGAGCTCCGATACGGCTAGCGAGCTGTACGGTTTACGTATCTGCCACCATATGTTTAACACAAACTTATTTATTACAAGAGTGGTGTAAAGCACTTAAACTTATAAGGCACTATTAAGGAGCGCAATGCAATGTGTAATAACAGTAGAGCAAACAATTAGCAAAGTTGGCTTTAATCTGAATTCTCAGGAGGAAGAGTGGCATTCATATTAGAGATGTCAATCGGATACCAACTTTTTGGTATACCGATACCAAACCGATACCAACTTGGTATTTGGTATTTCAATCGTAATGTGTTTGGTATTTTGTTGGTATCATTAACCCTCACTAATGTTTAAGAGGCTAAGAAATCGGTAAAAAGTTGGTATTTCCCTCATTTTCCCAAGTTGGTTTGGTTTCGGTATTTCCCCACGGTTTTGGTTGGTATTTGGTTTGGTATCGGTATTCCGATTTTCCGTAATTGACACCACTAATTCATATGCAGAAACAGTTCGACAAAAAAAATAACGGCAAGAAAATCTAATGTCAATTGGAAACTTAGAAGCAATTATGAGAGCCATTTTATTTGCGTTTGATTCCCATCATTGCATGATATTCTTTCAGCATTGACATTTATTATTTCTTTAAGTGATATCAGACCGACAAAGACGAACAAAGGTAAGGACCAGACAATGGTACGCTTGGTCAAATAACGCTCATGATTTTTCAGAAAACTAACCTTCAGTTTCTTTTCACGTTCGATAAACTCTTCCCTAATTTTCGCCGCCTCCAATTCCATCTGCTTTTGTCTCTGTGCTTGCACCCCGTTGGTTTCTCCCATCTTCTTTTGAGCTTCTAATTCCTTTTTCATTTGTAGCATTTCCTCTTCATATTCCGCTCTTAACCTCTCCCTTTCTTGTGCAATCGCCTCTTCATCTACCACTGCAAATTGGAAACAGGCAGAATGCATAGTTAGGTCACGATAAAAGAAAAATAAACTAAGCCCTTCCGACTGGGCTCATGGGCCACGTAACGACAATTGCCAAGTAGCTACTCGCCGGCCCATTTAAAGACATTCGCCCATGGGGTGGTGTTCAAATGCCCCCTCCGGCTCTCCCCCCCCCCCCCCCCAGTAGCGTACGGGTTGGGAGTGGGACAACATGGTAATCACGACCGCTGGTTGACTTCATTGTTTAAAAAATATCGTTTGTATGGTTTAAACACTAAAAGCAAGTACATATTCCGATACATACGAACCTTTTTGGGGCGCACCCGTCATCGGGCCGCCGCCGTCGCCCAGCTGTTCCTTCAGCTTTTTTATCTCCTCCTGGTACTCCCTTAGCAGCGCGTCCTTGGGGTCCTCGTTGATCTTGGGCTTGTTCTTGATCTGTTTGGCACGGTTGGCGTAGCGGAGGGTGCTGAGGGTCTCGTCGTAGTTGTTGTCGGCAGGTGACAGACAGGCGACCATCATCGTCTTGGTGTTGCCGCCCAGAGAGTCCTGTGAAGCGGGGGGGGGGGGGAGGGAATGAGATTGGCTGAGAGCTGTGGGCTGAGCTAGGCTGATCTTGCACCTAAAACAAACTCGTACACGTACTTGTGGTAGGCTGCCCAGTTACAGCAAACTTGCAAGCAGAATGCTGTCTGATAGTTATGTAAGTCGCTTATTTATGCAAACATTTCAATAATTTCTAATAATTAGGTAAATTCATTTGACCAATTAATAAAAATGAAGCAACTCTTCTATTCATTGGCTAGCTCTAGTCTGGAAGCCAATGCCTTAGAGTGCTGATCGTGTTTCCGTTTCGTCCGCTAACGACGGTCATTCTCCACAAGAAAGTCATCTGTTTGCGGCAGTGGCGGGCAGCACGCAACACGCGAGGAAACAAAGGACCCGATGGCGGTGGCGGCGGTGGTGTTGGTGTCAGTGAGGGACGCCCATCACCCATGATGGCGGTATCGGACGACATGGCGGTGGGTGCCACACCTTTGTATGGTCGTGCTCATACCACCCGATAGTGGATGAGTCATTTTGGAATATCAGTATCTACTAATGCACATGTTAGCGTCTAGCGATTGGTTTTGAATATTGCCTACGCATATGATGAAGTGGATGAAGTCATGAGGGAGTGTAGATAAAAACTTAACATTTCTGTCAAATGAGTCTCATGTGATTATACATTTCCTATGAAAGCCATTCGCGCTTCTTTAATCTTTATCTAAAACCAGGCTGATGTCGCCCATGAAACCCTGCATCATGCATATGAGGATGTGCTTAATTTCACAATACATACATGGCCTAACGCAGTAGAACTTTTCGTTCAATACGGACCACCGAATGATCTACATGCGTCGACCGGCCAATGATACATCACGCAAGGTAATCATACATCTATGATATAACTCCCGACCTTTACCACATGACACTGGATAGCCGTGATCGATGCCAGCGCATCAAAGTAGTCCGATCGGACCTTGCCCCACTGGCCTCTCCCACCCATCCTCGCCGAGTAGCGGCCACACAGTCCGTCTAATGGAGGCCCGCAGCCCCAGTAACCCACTCAGTCCCGGCAGCCACGCACAGCCGACCACGCGGCCCTGCCGCGATTCAATGGCAGGATGCCGTGAGCCGGCGACCGGCACGCAATCTCCGCCGCCGCCGGCACTGCTGCCGACGGGGTGACGCTGCTGCCGTCGCTGCCGACAGCGCGATGCCTGAGCGAGCTAAGACGGTAGTCTTAGCTCGCTCGGCGCTACCTTCGCTGCTGCTCTGCCACTGTTGTGCTCGGTCACAAGAGATCGCACCCCGTCTAGGTGACGTGATGGCCCTGGCAGTGGGCTGAAATCTGGGCCAGCGAGGGAGACCAACACATCAATAGTGGAGCGGCGGCATTTCTGTGTCGGCTGTGTTAACACAACAGTGGGACACGCGTGTCGGGGCCGGGCAAAACAAACACCGGACATGCTGGTTTTAGGACAACAGGTCGGTGGGTGCTGTTCTGAGGGTGAAAAAGTCACGGGAGAAGATAACGTAGCCCCGGCATTCCGCCATTCCTGGCCGGAAGGCGGACCATGCGGGGCTAAGTTCGACCAGCTCAGGGTCATCGACCTGCTGTCACAGCGACCTCCTCAGACGGACCGGGGCATTGACCTCGTTTGGCCAGCAATCAGCAGAGCTGAGCACTCGGCGTCACGGTCATTGGCCCAAAATCGCGGCCGACTTCTGGCGATCGGTGCAGAAAAACAGCCTTCCCGACGAACCGTCCCTGAGCGCGCTAACCGCGCCCCCTCACGCGATGGGCACGACACGGGGAGCGAATTGACGATCACCAGAAGCCGGAGGGATGCCCACAAAATGTGCTTCACTCAGCCAGCCTGTTCCTCACATGGGTACGTGTACTGATGCCTACCATATTGAAGACCTAGGTACTTATTTTTGATAAGCAGGTGTGATGTTTTATGTTTATAGAAGTGCAAAACGCATTGAAAAAACACTTTCATTTTTCCATGATAGACTTTAATCATAAAACGATTCAAACACTTTTCCTTATTCAAATTGGCAGAGCTATATAACTAAATCCTTTTCACTTCTCATTGAGACACCTAATAGCCTTCGCTGATATCAATTTTATCGGTCTGCTTACTGCGGTTCACATCTTAGAGCTGAACATAAACCTAATATTTCCTAACCGACCGTTGTACCTAAAATTACATCCAGCTTCGACTCTTTACCAGAAAACAAATTTTCAGCGGAGGGCAGCCCTGAGGGTATCAACCAATACGTCCGTCCACATGGTGGTCCATTGGCCAATCAATGCGACGATCAATGATAGCCACCCGTCCCCTGGGCCAAAGGTGAAGGCTGATCGATGGACGGGGGAGACAAAGACATCTCCACGAAGACAGGTAAACGGCATTGGTCCAGCGACCTGGATTGGTCCTCAGCAGGAAGACTTGTTTCGAATGCATATTACGAGAGTGGTGCGGTTGGTTGGGATCTAAAGTCTGGACGCTAGGCGCAGGGAGGAGCCGCTTAGCTAACGTTTGATATTCAATAATGTGTAGGTAATAACCCTACACTAAATTGGAGTGATCAGCCAATTTTGTAATCAGCCGACAAAACTACATATGATGCATTGGCATCCGGTGTCCTGTTGTGCGCCACTTTTTCCGATTTTTTCCTCTGTCGCAATGTGTGCGTGACTCACCAGCCGATTGATTTCACATACAACTGTTCGTGGGAAGGATGATGTGTGTGTGTAAATTGTCGATAAAATGACTACAACAGCGGTTCAAGGCTACCATCGCGTGTGTTCAGAATCAGATCGTCATGTATCGTCTGATACTCCTCGTGCATTGGAGACATTATCAAGAAAACGTATGTTTACAACACATCGGGTATTTTTGTTCCGGTAGTTATCCGGCGACATATAAAGCTAGCCTACAGCAGACGGCTCAGTTTGGAGTCCACGTACGTTTAGTGTCTGTAGCTCAGGTTATACCTGCAACAGAGGGTCAGTTTGGAGTCTCTAGGGGATGTGTTTGTAGTGTTTTACCTGCAGCAGTCTGGTCAGCTTGGAGTCTCGGTAGGGGATGTGTTTGCTCTTGCCGTCCACCAGCGCCGAGATGACGTTACCCAGCGCCGATAGCGACAGGTTGATTTTGGTCGCCTCCTTCAGCCGATCTCCAGTGGCCCCTGCAATGGCAGCCGGTGGAGTTCGTGTCATAAAACCAATCATAGTCAGCATGTTCGAGTCTTGTCATTTGTTTTTGTTCAACGATCAGTAAAACGTCAGTAATTATATCGTGATGTAAGGCAGTTTAAATGCACCTTCCAGTAAATCAATTTTGGGCTGCTTACATTGGCTCAACGACCCCTGAGTATATCGGTTAACCATTGCGTCAGTCAGCTGTCTGCATTTGGCTAGTAAGAACGCGCTCTTTTTGTCCGCCTAGACTCGGGCACATGTGATGCGGTGCAGTCTATATTACAGGGCAAACTTCTAGTGCCATCTATCGAGAGGAAAGCAGCATACATATTGGCGACTGGGCTTGTTCACGGCCACTAAAACTGAGGTTTTCACGCATTTCACTAGATCAAGCGATGAGCTTCTTATCAAATTTGCTCTTCGGTCGTTTTTAACCTTGCAAACTACGTTTTTCTAATACGAACTGAACACATTGTTAAAATGCTAAGTTCTTGCTCAGAATATCAAGAAAAGAGGCGGAATTGGGTAATTCTTGTCCATTACATGATCATGATTCCCAGAATAGCACCAAGCCCAGGACCATGTCATTACATTGGCTTTAGTTTCTGATACTGATGTCTACTTTTTTATCATAACGGTCGACATGGTTAATCACTTTTTTATCATAACGGTCGACAGGGTTAATCAATTTGACAAAAGCACATGTGGGACTAAAAAAAGTATCCCACAAGGCGTCTACACACTTTGAAACTACAGTCCAGCACTTCAACAATAACATGTCGTGCTGACCTCCTCCCAGGAGAGGCATACCAAATTACCCCGATATTCGCGCGTCCACTCTACAAGTCACGAACCACCGCCCACCGCCCACCATTCCAGCGTTGGTGGCGCGCAGGTGCTCATACGGGCACCTTGTGGGCGGGGCGGCGGCGGAGGCGGGGGCGGCGGCTTACCGACGGTGATCGATCGTCTTACAATCAGCCGTCGGTCGACCAGCCGGCACTCCGCCGCCGTCCCGGCTCTCCCCTGTTATGAGTGCACGGTGGGAGCTCCCCTGTTCCCGAGCCACCCCAGTAGGTCAGACCACCTGCTGCGAGCCGCCCCACCTGCCAGGTTAACGCCGGGGGCAATGACCATTGACCACACCAGAGGTGTGGCTCGTATACATGCAGACACGGGAATAATCTGGAGAGAATGAACGTTTAATACAATGTAGTTTCATGAACAGCTTTGCCGAAAATCTTTTTTTTTTCTAAGCGCTAACTACTCATTCGGATATACCGATCTCCCGATTGCATTAGCTATGTTTTGGAAATTGGAAGGACACCTTACCTACTTCACTTTTATGATATGGGAGCTCAGTAATGAGGCAATATTTATAATGGGTTTGCGTAAACGTCAGTACGAAGCAACTGGATGGGCAGGCTCGCCTGCCTGTCCAATAAGGCAATAAATTCGTCAAAATAAGAGCGTCTCACAATGTCTGAATTGATGCACCTCATTGCCCAAGGTAGTATATTACAGTAAGCCTTCGGTTCTGGTAGCACGAACCAATCGATGTGGTTCACCCCAGGGCTGCTTCGTTTCACGTTTAAACTTTAATATCCGACCCACTTAGCGTCTCTACTCCGTTCATACTTCATTGCAGGTTATGCATTCCTGCCACTACGGGTCTGGATAACAGAGTGTAGCGCCTCCTTTCCAAGTGCTATAGAGTGATGACCAGGCCTGTGAATCGACGGCGGTGGGCGAGACCTTGCTTCACTGCACACAGCACATGTAGCATGCCTTCTTATCTCGCCTTACACGGGTGAACCCATTACGTACGATTTGAGCCTCAAACACTAATCTCACATGTGATATTAGGATCCAAACCAGCATGGTTGCAGCTCCACATCGGATTACAGGAAATTATCAGGTTTTCGACAGGCTTTGGACGCCCTTACAATGGGCATTAAGTACGCTGTTACACGTTCTCCTCCACATTAAATCAATTTCTCACCATATTCAAGAAATCAAACCACCGGGTGCCGGATAATTTCAAGGAAGTGTGGCACCGCAGCCTGCTAGAGGAGCCGTCCAGTCGTTCATGACTGTTGGCCAGTCCCGCCTGTGATCGATCCCTCCCCGGGTGGTGCACCCTCCCTGGCCAATGCACCCTCCCCCCCCCGCCCGGGTGGCGGGTGGTGCACCCTCCCACCCCGGGTGGCGGGTGGTGCACCCTCCCCTCCCCTCCCCTTCCCGTCAGTGCCGTGACCAGCTCGGAGACTGACGCCTCGCCGGCGCACGCCAACTTCCGTTCCACACCCCGGGGTCGTTAGACGCCGTCAAAACGCCGCTTCAGCACCCCCAACAGCGTGGTCATGAGTCCAGGCATCCAGCTTGGACCCGTGACACGAAACACCGGCCAGTGTTTTGGCCCAGAGTCCAGGGCTATGGATGTTCCCAGTACGACTTCACGCAGCATAGCATGCGTACGTGCGTGCGTGTCACTTCTGCATTTACGCTCATTCGTTAAATTAGCAAAATGAAATGTGCTTATATTAATCTTATATTAACCTTCGCCCCAGTGGGGGGGGGGGGGCATATGTTACCACCCTGTCGCGTTTTTCGCGTGTGAATAAAAAACCGCGGCGCGTAGCGCCGCGCCGCTTGGGGTAGCTTTTGATACATCAATTTTGGACAATGTGTGAAATTTTTGACCCCAGGTCGTGTCAGGTCAGGTCACCAGGTCAAGTTAACTGACCAAGCCGAAAAAAAGTTTGCAATCATGTCCAGCCTGCAATGTTTGTCAGAAAGGTTTTAAACTTCGTGGATTGCATGCTGTTATGGGCGCCTACAATTTGTATCATATCTCGGATTTTTATATCCGTGACCTAAGGTCAGGTCAGTGGCGTGACCTTTCCATTACAAGTCAATGGAGAAAAATGAAAATGCCTCTAGATCCGTGTGTACGCATAGGAACGGTCCAAATATTTCAGAATCACAATGATTTAGTCCACTCGTGATGACCAAGGTGTCATTTTTGCTGATAGCCTCTAGAAAGGTCATCCGAGGTCATTTGAGGCTACAAACAGTTTTTTGCCAATAACTCGCCATTGGAAAGAGATAGAACGCTGGGGATGGTCTCATTGTGTTTGTCTCGTTGAGACGCATCGACTGATATGCTACATGACCTTTTCCGGTCAAGTCATGACCTTGACCTGAGGTCAAATTTTCAAGTTGACCTTTCAAGGTCAAATTATAGTTCATTCGACGCGTCTCGGCGAGGGGAACACGATTCTGGCAATATAAATGTCGTGGCCTTTTGTAGTCGAAAGTTATGGTCGAAAAACACTTGAAGTAAAAACAGCTATTTTTGGAGTTTTTGCCCTCTGGAGGCTAAACCGTTGACCTGAGGTCAATATTGATAATGACCTTTTCAAAAGAAGAGTTCAACATCTATCGATTGCTTTTCCATGCGCTTTTCTAGCTACCATAGTTCCTGAGATAACGGCATGTTTTCTGAAAAATATAATGACAATTGGCAAATTTTGACCTTTGATGACCTCTGGTGACCCCAATATTGCTCTAAGGTGAAAAATGACCGAAATACTTTCAAACGTACGCATTGAGAGCTATCGACTGCTTTTTACCGCGTCTTTCTAGCCCTCTTAGTTTTTGAGTTAGAGGTGGGTGGTAACATATGCCCCCCCTCACTAGGGCGAAGTTGGCTGAGACCGCCACTGGGGCGCGGGTTAATTTCTTCCAATCATATTACTATTTTACGTTTTCCAGAAACCTGTGCAGTCTGCAGTCTAAGCCTCCGTTCATCTATTAGCATATATCTATTGACTCCCTTTACCTTTCGTCTCCCATCAGCCGCAGCCCACGGTCGCTCTGCCTCACCCACCTGTTTTCGCCTGTCGTTCAGAGCCGGCCAGATCCACCAGGTTGAGCTTGCCGGCCCTCAGCTGGTCCTTGCCCTTCTTGGACGGCGTGATCATCTCCAAGAAGATGGTAAAGATGGAGTGCGAGCGCGACGAGTCCTTGTTCATCAGCGTCTCGCCGGTAGAGCGGTTGTTCCAGCCCTTCTGCATCAGCATGTCGCAGTCGTTCTTGTTGTGGCATGGCTGCCGGCTGAGGTCCTGCACGTACACACCCTTCTCCGGGTGTTCCTTCAGCTCGATCTTCTTCTTCGGGTCGTTACCGAGCAGATCCCGAATCTCTTCGTTGTAGATTTCTAGGTAGGATCCATGCACCTGAAATGCAGGATTAAATTATTTAGAAAAGTTAGACATCATCGTTATCATCAAGTTGCCGTTTCGTCATGATAGTCATTTCTGCACAGTCTCATGTGATCATCAGTATGATTACAACGTCTATCTTGTTATGCAATGTTGCAACGAATAGCTAAAACACATTTGAACTCCGACTTTTTTTCACCGGCAGTGGCCGAATATGGTACTTTAAGGTTGAAATCAAGACACAATAAGTGAAGTTAGCATTTGCACTGGTATCACTCACCAGATATTTGGTCTCTGTTGATGTGCTGATGGCGTCGAAGATGTGCTCGAAGGCCCTAGGTATCAACCCGAGCTGGGTAGGAGGGTCGGGGATGCCCTGCATGGAGAAGGATTTGCCGCAGCCGGTCTGTCCGTAGGCGAAGATGGTGCCGTTGTAGCCCTCGAGGGTGCCCTCGACCAGCGGGTACGCCATGTCCTTGTAGATGTTCTCCGTGACCGAGTCCATGTAGTAGACGCCGTCGAACGTGAAGGACTTGGGTGGCGAATTCTTGTCGGATGGGTTGACGATGGACACCTGCATGATGCTGTCGTCCATGAAGACGACCACCTGAAGCAGACGGGGACCGGAATGTCAGAGACTCTGCTGGTGTTTCACCCGTGAAGGTACATTTTGTAAAGGGAATACTGCAGGGGCGATTAGCAAGGCACTGCTCATCATCCGCTTATGGTGTGTACTTTATTTTTCAACTGGCACATTGCAAAATATGGGAGGAAACTAAGACATAAGTAATGGAGCCCAGGCCCCAGCGATTATTATGTGAATTCATACACTTTACACGTGTTGGACACATTGCACTTTGACTGATTGCAGTCTGATGAAACTTAAAAGCGCAGCTCAAGTTCATGGCTTATAATCGAAGTTATAATTGAATTATTTCGCATTGCCTGCGTGACCGGATCCACAGAAGCGCTGTGACTACTAGAGCCTCCCATCAAAGAGCTCAGTTCATCAATCCCAGCCTGAAGAGGATCGGTCCACGACCGACGTGGAACGGCGCAACTTTGCCGATCAACGATCAGCTGGGCGGGCGGCCTGCCAGTCCAACCATCAAACCAACAGTGGCCACAAATCAAGGTCGGACCAGGGCCGAGCGACCGATGTTCCATTCTGGACAGTTTGGTTTTGATTATGCGAGTGGGCTGTTTCAGATTCGATGAACAAGGATGGGTTGTGATGAGTATAACGGTAGAGGCGCTTGAGCGATTGCACTGTAAAAAAAAAAGTTTAGTATTTGGGGTACTAACGGCTGCTATTCGTAGCACCTTTTAGCGTCAAAAGAACACTACGACGTATTTACAAAGAAACATGGTGCTAATACTGTGCTAATGATAGCTAACATTCCCATCAAATATTATAAGTTTAGATCATCTATTCTTCTACTGAGCTTAACGTCTACTTCTGCTAGTACCCAGTCCATCAGTGAGTGCTCTTTCAAGCTGGATTTCTAATTAGAACCATTTTAAGTGTTTTAGAAGTTGGTAATGCTGAATATGGTACTTACGTTAGTATCACAATAGAACCGGACATGCTTACAGAGGAAACAAATTTGAAATTGGCGCCAAAGAAAGTAGCTAAGCCCATAGGCGGCGGAACGATTTGAGACAAGGGGGGCACCAGCTCAAGGGGCCAAACCTAGGGTACCCCCAAATCCTGTTTTCTCATCGGATTTAGGCCACTTATTTTTCGTCACAGCCCTGACACGATGATTTTTTTTTATTTTTTTTTTTACTAAACGAAAATGGCAGAACACCCCCATATGTGTGGTTAACTTTAAGCTGATCCTCAAGTACCTATGTGTTTGTCTCTTCCTTATTCTCGTTTGATAAATTCCATTAACCCTCGCCCGACGAGGGGGGTTGATGCAACCCCCCTAAAGTTTTTCGCAAATAACGTAAAAACGGCGGCGCGTAGCGCCGCCAAATTTGGCATACCCTCTGGGGCAACATTTTCGCACCTTTCCTGAAAATTTGAAGTCCCAGTCTTTTCAGGTCAGGTCACCAGGTCAGAAAAACCGGTACAAGGTCAGGGGAAAATTGGACTAGCTTAGCGGCAACTGAATTCCAAAGTTCACTAAAATTGGTAACAAAGTATACCATTCGATGCGCTCTGACGTCCTGAGTTCACTGGTGCTTTTATTTTTGCTCTATCTTTGCTAGGTAAAAAGTTATAAGCGAAAAACTTTTAACATGTTTAAGCAAAATTTTTGCATTCATACCCCCAAAACTCCCTAAATATTGACTTAGAGTCACCAAACTTTCCCAGGGGCGAGATCTCCCATGGACCCACCTACCCTGTAAATTTGTCGTTTCTAATTATGGAAAAGGCCCTCGCCTGGCGAGGGTTAATCCTACATGTATCAAATTACCAAGAAGCCATTGCAGTACTAATCAGTGGCGAATCCCAGGGGGGAGGTCACATGGGTCATGACATTGGGCCTGGGGTCACCACATGCCTGCCAGGAGCACCACAGGCCTGACAGCCGACAGGGGCACCACAGGCCCGCCAGGGGTACCACAGGCCTAGCAGGGGCACCACGAGCCTGTCAGTGGCACCACAGGCCTGTCAGGAGCACCATCGGCCTAGCAAAAGCACTACAGGTCTTCCAGAGGCACCACAGACCTGCCAGGGGCAACAGAGGCCTGCCAGGGGTACTATCGGCTTCGCAGGGGAACCACCAGCCTCGCAAGGGCACCATGGGCCTGTCAAGGGCACCACAAGCCTGTCGTTGGCACTTTAGGATTGTCAGGGGCACCACAAACCTGTCAAGGGCACCTGCGTTCTAACAGGGGCACCACAGGCTCGCCAGTGGCACCACAGACCTGCCAAGGCCCAGGGACACCACAGGCCTAGCAAGGACACCACAGGCCTGTCAGGGGCACCACGGGCCTGTCAGGGCCCATGGGCACCTAAGTCATGTGCAGGGCCCACCGTGGGCTTGTCAGGGGGCAGGGTAGGGTAGGTAGGTACCACAATCTTTCCAGGGGCACCAGCGGCCTAGCAGGGGCACCAGTCATCACACGACTAACCAAAAATAAAGAAAATAGAAAACTGAAAATAGGGCACCACCAAAATTAAGTGGCCGAAATCCGTTGAGGTTTTCATTTTGGGTATAGGTAGGGGCACCACTTCGATTCATGACCCTTCCCTTGGAGTTTTCCCGAATCCGCTCCTGGTACTAATACATCAAATTTAAGGGGGGGCACCTTGCTATTGGTGCCCCCCTTGCAGAATTCAAGGGGGGGCACGGTGCCCCGGTGCCCCCCCAGTTCCGCCGCCTATGGCTAAGCCCTGCTTTACAAATCTCTGGGAGTCTTATCACCAGCCCTTTAGCACGTTTTGACGGCGCAGAGCGATATGCGCATGCGCGTGCCAGCTGTTTCCGGCCACGTGTTGCGCCATTTTAGTGGAGTCCGTTGGTCGTGGTGGGAGTGTGTGCACGTGCTCCGGTATATGAAGTGAAATGAAGTGAAGTGAAGTGCTCCGGGCACATGCCACCGAGTGATAGCTCTGGAATGGTAGCTTAAATCAGCTATTATCGGTGGAATCCGTCCGTCGTGCGTGGCATGGGAGTGCGTGCCCCTGCTCCGGGAGGCAGTAAGGTGGAGGGAAGTGCAGTGCAGCAGTGCAGTGAAGTGAAGTGAAGTGAAGTGCTCCGGGGCCGGGTGGTACATGAGCATTTGCCACCGACACATGCCACCGACACCGACGTTGATCGACTTTGGTGAGTCTGACACGTTGTATCTTTTGACATTATCTTATATTGTTTAAGTGCTTCATATTCCGACTTTGGCAAATCGCGCTTCTTGGTCTGAAGGAAAGTTGTGTTGTTTGCGAAAATAGCTCCCAACAGAAAAAAAATCTTGGAACTGATCCAGTTTTTTTTTTGCTCCAGGCATGGGGCCTGGTCAGTTCTTCCGTCGACTACCACTTACAATGGAGGACAACTACGACAACAACACGGGGTCTCCGGTTCCGTCTATCACTAAACGCCGTCTGGTCGTGGATGAGGTCGAACTTATGGCCATGAACGGAACGTCGGTTCAACGACCCCCCCCCCCCCCCCCGCCTCCCCCAGTCGATCTCGCGTTAATCGTCGGTCACTGCGAGTGTGCAGGTATATGAGCGACCTTTCTTTATTTCCCGTGCGTTTGTTTGTGTATATATTTACATTTGTTTTTCATGCAGATGATATGAAGTGTTAATAAATGTTCCATTATTATTTCTTAATTTTTTAATGTGTTGGATGCTTGAAAGATGCACTTACACCGGAATATTGCAGAATGCAAAACACAATCATTGAGACTTGTAGTTATCACTTATCTAGGATATAACCTTTTTTGCACGTCTTTTCGGCCTTACACAATTTCCTTTTCGGTAATTGATTAGTCCTTTTTGCAGTAACTAGTGAAAGTATGTGCTGCTAAAAAAAAGCAGTTTTTGCGAACTTTTCATGCAGCAGCTTTAACTAGTATAGATATTCTTCTTTCAGCCCCAATGCTTTCGTTAGCATTATTCTACTTGTCGTGGGGTAACAATAGCGCTAAAACGGTTCATATGTGAGTACGGAAGGTACTAACTGCATGTTATTCTCAGCACCTTTTAAAGTTTAGCACCGCTAGGGTACTGAAAATTGGTCTAGCAGGTGTAGGGTACTACATTTAGTACACGGGTGCTAAACAAATATGGGTACTTATATTAGCACCTTGATACTAAACTAGATCTCAGTTAACCCGCGCGGGGCTGGGGGGGTAAATTTTACCCCCCCTCGCGAATTATTGCGATATCTCGAAAACGGCGGCGCGCAGCGCCGCCAAACTTTCAGTACCTTTTCTTACATCAATTTGACACGTTCCCTGAAAATTTGAGCGAAATCCGTCGGAAATTTTTTGAGAAATTGACGTTTTAGTGACGTCATGTTCGTCATTTTCGCCTCAAAAACGGCAAAAGTTCAAACGCCGCTAACATCTTCATTTTTAAAGGAATCAAGACGTAACAAAAAAGGTTATACGTAATTTTACTTTGTCTATCAAATGGCTATCTCGGTTTTTTGAAAATTTTGGATTTTGGCCTAAATTTTTTTTTCAAAAAACTGACTTTTTTGGGAAAATCATTAAAAATCCAAAATTTTGAGTCTATCGAAAAAACCGGAATATATGTCAGAGAGGTGGTCTATGTGCACCTACAGCGTATTTACAAATTGCAACCGAGCTCCGCCGTGGGGTAAGATGGGCAGGGATTTTTGCACTACGGCTGCGGTTGAACTACCGTCTGTGGTAGAAACTTCAGGACGATGGCGCGTTTCATACGAAATCTGGCGCAATGTTTGTTTGCTCCTTTGTGTATTGTTATTGCTGTGAACTCTTGAAGTGGGAGTGTTTCAATAACAATTTGTGGATTATTTGAGTTTCTTTATATAAACATAGAATAGTATTATGAAACATTTTGTGGAAACTGCAAATACTTATATGATCAATTACTTAGTTTGGAAATTGATACATATTTTGTAGATATTTGTCTGGCAAATGGTGTAACAAACCTCAAGCCTA